ATAGACCATTTTTCTCTATTTTTCAATTAATTGTGCATAAATTTCAAATAGTGCAAGTTTTTAATTATCAATGAAATAAAGACATCATTGTGTAAATGTTCCGTGCGAGAATCAGATATAAATCATGATAACGTTTTTACAACAAAATGCGTAACATTTATATCGCGATATTTTTAGCACACGAACGTTCGAAATTGTATTGATCAAACAAACGACAAATTTGTGTCACCTGTTTTTGATAATAAAAAAATTAAGTTATTGAAATTGAAAACACGTAAATGTTGGGCGTATTTACAACAGGAATATGTTGTGAATATTTGATCAGCAACAAGAAAAACATACTTAACTAACATCCAATTTAAGAAAAAGAGAAAAATTTTAAGTAAAATAAGATACCAGATTTTCTTAATATACAGGCTGCGCCAGAACTCGCGCCCCAGAGAAAATTTCAAGTAAGGCACTGTTATTTTATTTAAATATCTATAAAACTATAAATCTTTACTCAACCCAAAAGCTATTACCAAATCGACTCTCCCAACGAAAACTCAATTATTAATAACGAAACAACAATAACAAATAAAAATTTGTGATTCAATTTATACTAATCAAATACTCCAATTTCGTTCTAATGATAATTCTAATCTCAATAATTACCTAGAAAACTATAGTAACTCATAAAAATTGATTTTTGAGTTACAATGGCTCATGTAGGGCTCAAAATACAAAAACAATAAGAATTTTTTTTAATAAACCATTATTTACCAAAATTTAGATCCTTAGCAATTTTAAATAATATATTTTTTTATTAAAAATCAAAGATTTAAAGCAATTTTTCTCAAAACAGTAATTTTTGAGTCACTATAGTTTTCGTAGGGAGAGTCTATACAGGGTGCGCCAGAACTCGCGCCCCAGAGCAAAATTTTAAGTAAGATAAGGTACTAGGAATATGAAAAAAATGTAAAAAATTCTATCTGTCAAAAAATTTTGACATTTTTTTTTCATTTGATATTTTTTATTTTCCTGGTATCTTACTTTATTTTTTTCTCTGGGGTGCGAGTTCTGGCGCACCCTGTATTGCACATGTCTGCACCAAGAAAACTAAAATCTTGCAAATTGAAAAAAAATGGGTTTTTATATTTAAAATTAAGAAATTGAATATAGTCCAAAAACACTATTTTTAATTTTTGAAATTGGGCCATAAGTAAAAAATATAAAGCGCTTGCTGTTTTTTAAAAATCACCCTGTATTATTGGAACTTGTTGAGCTTGAAGTCATCAAAAATAAATACAGAAAAAAATTGAATGTCCAAAATTTTCTTAATAAAACAACATTAATTTATAATAATAATCAAAAAATTTAGTAATTTTCTAACAAACTAATCAAAAATTTTTTATTTAACAAATTTGTAAAACAGTAAATTAAAATAAAATATAATAATAACAGTATTCTAAAAAACTGGTGATCAACTGATCATATACTTACTTGAAACGTATTTTTTGTAATAAAAATTATTTTTCCAACACAAAAAAATAGACTCAAAGTGCAAAATTGTTTCCATGTTCTTACCTTACATAGAATTTTTTCTGGGGCGCGACTTATGGCGCACCCGGTATAAGTCAAAATATCAAAATAATGTAACATTTAAAAATGTTTACCGTTAAGATAGGTATGTAATTGAATTATGTATTTATTTTTAAAAATTGCATTGAATTTTTCGAACAAGTTTTAGAAAAACTAGTCGATATTTCCTAATTATTTGCCATTCCATCATAAATCATGATTTTGCTATAATTTCTCAAGTGGAGAAAATATCAAATGAATTATGTATTCAGCTCTGAAACGGCTGGAAATTACCATAAGTAATGGGAAATGAACCCAAAAAATTATTTATTTTGATAAATTTTTTGCTATTTTAAACTTGAAGATTAATCACGATCGAATTTATCACTGCAGTCGTAACTCCTTAAATGTCCTACAATCCTACATCGATAAGGATGCGGTAATAAGAACAGCAGGATTATAGTAGTAAGAGCCCCCATTTGTTGCGACCTGCACATTTCTAGGCCACGATGTCAGCCTTGGTTGTTTTAGTGCTGACGCCTTGCGTCGCGAGGTCGGACGTCTTTTATTCTCTCTTCTATTATAACAGAACAGCAATAATTATCCTTTAAGTTTTTTACATGAAACGGACGACTCTTCTAAATTTAGTATTGATTAGTAAGTGGTTAAATAGCGAGTGATTTTGCTCAAGATAAAAGAAAATCTGTTATATTATTAAAGTGTGAAAACGTAATTATGCTGACTTCATCTAAATGGGGTTTAAAACGATCTTAATTAAATTAGTTTTGATTTACTTTTTGTAATTTATTGAAAAATTCACAATTTATGAATTTAATACTAAAAAGTACGCTCAGAAAATTAGTCAGTGGAATAAAACGGTAAGAAGTGTTATTTATAATCTTTGTTTAGATTGTTTGTGTTGTTGTACTTAATTAAGCAATTAATTTTTGCAACAGTTAGCGGAGTTTTCACAGTGGTCAGTCAACTCAAGCGACACTTGCAAGCTGTTTAGATAATTATTAAGTATTGATAATAATAAAATATTTATGCTTAACGGCTAGTTTAAATACGGATAATCAATAAGTGCTAAGAAACCACAGGCCGTTCCATGTATACACAATTTATTTATTACTTTACGCAGGGCCTGAAATTAGCCTTTCAGAGGTGTTGATTAATTTCGTGCTAGATAACGATGTGATAAAAAATGGAAGGCGTCAATGTACAACAATGTGAAAAAGTAAAAGAGTTGTCACTGTCAGTTACATAAATCCACCAAGTTTTATTTTATTATTTTGTTTGATGTGAAAAGAAATAAAAATATGAGAAAAAAATATTTTCTAACTTTTGTTTCAAGAAACTTAATCTGGGAATTCCTAATCATTTTATTCTAATACAATAAGTATCTGTAATTATAATAATAATAATATAAATTAATAAAATCGACAAACAGTTTTAAGAAATATTATATTTTATCTGAAGAGTGGATTTCTAAAAACGCAATGACACAATAAATATTTTTCTATTTTGGATCTGAAAGAAAGATTATTTCGATAACAAAACCGATGCCTTAATGAGCCATTTAAACACCGATTCGGATGCTGAAATAGACTAGTACAATTTACTTTCTAAAGGTTGGTAATGGTGATTTTCAGCGGCGTTGTGAGCAATTTATTTTCATGATTGTTAATTCAACAAAAATTTGAAAAATACTTGAAACTTGACACTTTGAAAATCGAACTTTGTCACATTTATTACCAACCACAATCTTGTTAAAGTAAAAAAGTTCCTAAATTTTGAAACATTTACTTTTACGTTAAAAAAGTACGTAAAACACACAAAATAGAAAAAATAGCATAAAAACTTGTTTCATAAGGGAAGTAAATAAAATACGATAATTTTAAAAAAAAACTAGAACACAGAAATTAAGTCTTAAAAGTCACTTTAAAAACTTGCATGTTTAATGTACGTTTTTATTTGATTTAGTACCTTGTTGGGCATTAAAAATAACACAAGAAAATTGTTTTATATATTTTCACCATTTCCTCCAATTATTATTAATAAATTTTCAGTTTACAAAAAAATC